GTGCATGCACTGAGTTGCCCGGTCTCAGCCACTGCCCATGCGCCCAGTTGGCCGGTCTCAGCCACGGTGCATGCGCTGAGTTGCGCAGTCTCTGCCGTGGTGAGGAAGTTTCCCTGTCTCAGCCTCAGCACGTGCGCTGAGTTGCCCGGTCTCAGCCCCAGTGCATGCTACGAGTTGCCCAGTCTCAGCCGCAGCCTGTGTGCTGGGTTGCCCAGTCTCAGCCTCGGTGCACGGACTGAGTTGCCTGGTCTCAGTCTCAGTGCATGCATCGAGTTGCCCAGTCTCAGCCACAGCACGTGCGCTGAGTTGCCTGGTGCATGCACTGAGTTGCCCGGTCTCATCCGCAGCATGTGCGCTGAGTTGTCTGGTCTCAGTCTCGGCCCATGTGCCAAGTTGCCCGGTCCCAGTCGCCATGTGTGCGCCGAGTTGCCCAGTCTCTGGCGCAAGGAGCGGCACTGCCTGGAGAACCTTTCGTCCTGGCTAATGCTGCTCAGCGACCGGGTGCTGTTAGCCCCACCTGGCAGCCCTGACCTAGGGGACAACTGGGGAAGGGAATGGTTAAATCTGGGGACACTGAGGCACAGCCAGAGCAGAGCCCTCCTGGAGCCAGCCCCTGGCTGATGCGCTGGGTGCCGTGCTGGGGCTCCCTGGGGAGTGGGACCCAGGTCAGAAAACCCTAAATCTGCGGAGCTTGTGAGGAGGAGGAGGGCGCTGGAAAGGCGTGAAGGCAGCAAGGTGGCAGACGTGAGTTGTGCTGCCAGGGCCCTGGCGGGTCCCATGTGCTGGGGCCGCACGGGAGGCGGCAGGGGACACGGTCCCCTTCCGCCACCAGCACCCCTGTTGCAGCAGCCCTGTGGAGCCGTCTCCGGTGTCACCCTCCAGGAGCACTGGCCATGTTTGGGAAAGCCGCGGGCTCCGGGGCTGGGTGCCCTGTCCCCACAGCCGGGGGGCAATTCGAGGAGGGTTCAATGTGCTGCGCCCGGAGGCGATAAATCTCCCCTCGCCCCTCGGCCGCGAAACCCAACCCCTCCGGGCAGTTGTCGCCCAACTGGGGTTTCAGCAACCCCGTTCCCACCTGCCCAAGGGCTCGGTGGGGAAGGGTGTACCCTGCGCGATGCGGCCGCGCTGGCCGCTACCCTGCGAGGGGCCTTTGCTCGCCCGCTCCCATCCCCAATCCTGGGTCGTTTGGCCCAGAGCGGGCGCTGGATCCCCATCAGGGCTTGGTCCCGGGCTGCTGGGCTCCGGAAGGCCGTGCTCAGCTGCGGAGCGAGCCGGACCGGTCCCGCGGGGCGGAAGGAGCCGCTTTTGTCAGCGTTTCCTCCGCCGGCGGGTGAGTCAGCCCCGCGTGCGGCACGTGGGCTGGCCCGATGTCCCCAGACCCGTGCGAATCCTGCAAGACGGTGACACCGAGGTCACCACCCAGGTGATTTCCACCACCTCCAACCCACTTGGGTGCTTTTCGGGGTGCCGCTCGGGGCGGGGGTTGCCACCAACCGCCCTGTCCTTCGCCCCGCGCTGATGGACGGCTCCAGGCGCGCATTCCCGACGGAGGCTCGTCCCGCTGGCATCTGCTTCGTCCCGATCCGACGGCAGCTGTTGCGGCCGCAGCGCGGATGGGGGGTCATGACCCGGCAGCTGGAGAGCCCCGAAAAAAAGCGGGATGGGGCTTATTATAGCCGGCTGGAGCTATTCCCGACGGCTAATGGGGTGGGGGGCCTGGCAGCAGCCGGGATGCTCTGAGTTGTCCGTTGGGACCAGTCTGTCTCCTGGGAGGGGTTCGAATCCATCCATAGAGGCTGCATCAGCCCCCCCCATCATTCCTAATATATATTCTTAGCATCCCCCAGGGCTCATTTTGGGGAGGGGGAGCCTGCGCCCCTCCGGGGGTATTTTTAGTCCTTTCCTTATAAGGTTTCTGCAATGTTTTTTGGGAGCCGTGAGCGGAGTGAAGTCATCGCTGAGGTCATCCCAGCGCTGGGCTGGCCCCGCGGGGGGGTTTTGTGCCGGCTCCATTGAAATCTCTCTCCTGGACAAGGCTTAAAGGAAACAAAACCCCCAAGATTCTGGAGCGGGGCCAGGAGGCGCGAGGGGGTTTGGGCGGCTCTTAAAGAGCCCGCCCGGCCGTGGCAAGCGCTGGAGCTCGCATGGGACCCTTGGGTGCCCCAGCAGCTTTGGAGTCCGGCCTTTTCCCCTTCCAGCCCCAGCTTTTCCCCTTTTTGCCCCCAAATTAGATTAGAGGCGCTTGGCTGGCTGCATTTAACCATGATGGGCCCCGTGAATGGCTTCTCTCGGGGGCCTTTTGGTGCACGGGAAGCGAGCGGATCGCGCGCACGCTGCCTGCCCGGGATGCTGCCCCGCGCTGGGGTCGGATGTGGGTGCCAGAGGCAAAGCTGCAGGATGTGCCGGAGGGGGAAATGCCCAGCAGGGCAGCTCCCGCTCTCCGGGAGGCGGTTAATGGGGTGCGCTTGGCTTTGCACAGAGCCCCCCCTTTGGAGATGGAAACCCCTGGGTTTTGCAAAGCCGCTGCCTTGGCCCCTCCGCACCCTGGTGACCCTTGAGCCTTCCTCCCCCTCCTCCTCCTCCTGCACCATCTGTCCCCCCTTGTCTCTTTGTCAGCGCCGGAGCAAGCTGGAATGCGTATTAATTTCGGCAGGAATGTCACCTCCA